CTCAGCCAGTGAGAAGTAACGACACAGATCCGACGGTAGAGACGAGCTACGAGTCTTGGTTGACTTGTTTGTCGAAAAAGAAAATGGACCCCACTTTGTTCCGTGGCTGGAGCTTGAGTCCTTGACTTTTCCTCCTCGCCTGAGAGCCAAGAAAATTCCGAGAACGGAGACTAAAACAAGTACGCCGGAAACTACACCGGCGACGATGGCAATCAGAGAAGTCGAACTCTTCTTCGAAATTTTGGGAGACATCTTTGGTGGGGTTAGAGGAGGTGGGTCGGGATTGAGTCCGGCAAGATTCCGATTTGTGTCACTGAGTTTGAAGATCTCGAGCCCATTCAAGATTGCATCGTTGAAATTGGTAAAAACATCTATTGGGCCTGCTCCCAGTGCGAGAAAGAGATTAACTTTCTTCTGGCTTGCAGGCATGAACACAACGTAGTCCTTATAAATTGGTCTTCCATATCCACGACTCCACTTGATTATGTCTGCAAATTGTTCAGCTGTTTGATTGGTGATGAAGATTTGAAACTGTCGGTCTCTGGGCTTGGTAATATCAGGTTCAAACTCACAAAAATGAAGCCTAAGCAGGTACAAAAACTTGGGATCAACAGGGAACTCCCAGGTGAGATTATAGCTCTTGTTTATGGTCTTGTTTTTGCCCATTGACCGGCCAGTTTGGTAAAGTTCTTCTGGAGCAGAGTACTTTGCTATTTCAGTAAAGTTGAGTTCAATGCTACTGTTTTGCGGTAAAACACTAAACTTTAAACTTAAATCGTCTACGTACTTGTGCTCTTCTTGCTCGCCATCCCAGTTTCGGTACATACCAGTGTCCTGATTGAAAACTAGTGGTCTTCCACCAACGTTGAATCGGTACACCATCTCCAGCGCAGTGCCGTTTTCGATCCGAAATGTGTTTTCGCTGCCTATATAATTAACTCCATCTGAATTTTGAGCAGAGGTGTAGTAAAGATTGTTGGGCATGGACACAATTTCAATTCCATTGATAAACGCATACGCATCTGCAGTTGCTCTGCTTGGCATGAAAGTGATGTTCAAGCTCTGTTCTGACTCAACGTTGAGACAGAATTCTCTGTATATTATATCGGACTCAGAAGCATCGGCAGTGACTGAAGAGTTGAAGTCTTTGAGAAGCGTGAAGCCACCGGCTTTGACTGAGAAGAGGGCTTTGGATCGGTCGAAGTCAGGGCCATATGAAGCTGGGTTGAAATACAAACGGATGAACTTTTGGCCGGTGGCGACTGGAAATCTGTATGTAAATTCAGAGCGAGAAAGCCTCGCGGTGCTGTAAGGTACTGGGGTTAGAGAGGAGGAAGAAGGTGCTTGTCTGGGTATGGAGGGGCTGCCAGCTGCTTGGTTTTCAAAGGGGGAAAACTTTGAGTTGATATCTCCAGTCCAAGTTCTGGTGTCGTCTGGATTGAGTTGGTCGCCGGAAAAGCCACATTGAAGGGTGATATCCTCCACCGGAGTGTAGATAGGAGAAGTATCACCGGCCACGTGCACGGTGATGATGTGCAGAAACAGGGGAAGGAACAGAGGAGTGAGAAGAGGTTTCATGGTTATTGATTTATGAAGGTGTTTACTGCTTGGATTCTTCATGATTGTTTGTAAGAGAAACAAAGGAAGCTGCTGTTTATTATTGTAAGCATAACAGAACTTGCCTGTTTAATTAATTTCTAATTGGAAATGGAAATCCTAATGACGCTGTGTTCTATACTAATTAGCCACAAGGAGAATAAGCTTTGCAAAACTGGGTTTTAGATCTTGGGGTTGGAGAGTGGATGTTTGAAAGATAAGAGTGTTTTTTTTTTTTTTTTTTTTTTTTTTTCTTAGGAGGAAGTTCAAAGCTTTGGTGAGTTGCTTGTGTGTATGGTATGTAAGGCTTTGGTCGTCATGTCAATTGTGTAGGTGAATATTTCATTTTATCAACGAGATACATGTACTTTTTGGGGAAAAAAAAAGTGAGTGAAGAAATTGCTTGGAAATGCAAAAGAAGTTTGTCATCTTCTGCTATTTTACAAAGTTGTTTCTTTTTCTCTGAATTAGAAAACTATTTCTGAAAATATCCTTGTGATTTCTTTTGAATTGATGGTGTGTTTATTAATTAGGAATTAAAATTCTTATCAAGAATTTAATTTTACATATTGAGAATTCTTGCATTTATTTTGTATTAAAGAATTAAAAAATAAATAGTATTCACACAAAATTAAGAATTGAATTCCTGATTTTAGAGGAATTCTCGTGTTTTTAAGCACTTACCCTGTGTAACATGAGACTGATTCAACCATGCAACAGGGCCCAAAATTTCTGATGATTAAATCAGCTTTGTCTTCAACTTTGAGTTGTGATATTATTGAATTTCTTGAGCAGAAGCGGAGGCATGGATCCAAGACTTGCATGCCAAACTTTTGTCTGCATACGTTTTTTAAATTAAAGATTCTCGATCAAAAACAGTAGCAGCTGCCAGCAGCGCAGTGGACTTGACGAATTCAGTCGTTTGCAGAAGTCTCCATGCATACTTCACTTTCCAAACAACAAGTAGTGGAGATTGTGTAGTTAATTATATATTCTTTCTTCAGTAGAAAAGTCTCATTCACCACTAGCAAACAACCCGTTAAATGGTCTCCAGCTATGAGTTGGTAAGCGTCGTTTTAATCAAAATCACATTCATCAACTAGCTACTGGTTTAGTGGAACTTGTTTTTTACGTGCCGAGAAGTTTGAATGCGTCCTGTTCCGTTAATAAAAGAACAAAAACAAAATCGCATTGTTTTGATAAAATTTATGTTCATCGATTTCCAACTAGAACTTACTAAATGTATGACGTTTTTATATAATTTATGATTTAGTGTTTTTTTATTTGTAAAAACACGAATTAAAAGCAGGTTAGCTGGTTCATGAATGGCAAGCGTAATAAAATTGTGTAAAGTTAAATGTTCCATTGTATTTTCCTTCACCATATCAAGACGTTCATGTGTTGAAGAATACACAATTCCACATCGGAAACTTAACAAAATATAAGTCTCATATGATAAATGGTTTCACTCCTAATAACATCGAGGCATTTTGCATAAAACCCCACATCTGCTAAATATGTGATTAAGTTGGGGACAATATCGATCTTGCTAATAATGGACCAAGAATCCGTCTCTCTGAAATCTTAACATCATGAACAATGCCAGAATTTATTTTTTGTTATATTATTCATGCACAATAACTTCTTCTTCTTTTTTTCCCAATTAATAATGGGATGTACAATACATGCATGCATGTACTCTCCTAAGAAAGTAGTATAAATAATTAAACGACAGGAGAAGGGAAATATTCTTTTTCTGAGTGTTGAATTTTCTGAGGGCCAACTAGGCACAAATGGCGACAAACTTTCTTTTCAATCTTGTGAGAGTTTTATTTTCCCTTCTAGCAATTCATGCTTTTACAGTTCAGTCAATTCAAATTGGCGGAGAGGGACAGGCAATGGGGCCTTTGGATAACTCAGGCTCAGAAGCCAACTCAGGGCCTTTGGATATCTAAACGACGACGGTTTGGAATACTGTGGGCCAAGCATATTGATTGTGGGCCAAGGTATCCAAATTTACATTTCAGGAGGTGGGGCTGTGGTCCACATGCTGACCCTAATTAGGATCAGTTTTCATCGGTGTGATCATGGAGACGGGAGCCCGTTTGATGGGCCGGGTAAGGTTTTGGCCCATGCTTTTGGGCCCACAGATGGAAGGCTACACGTGGATGCCTAATCTACACAGTACGGTTAAAAATGCCAATATATATGCCTACGTTTCTGCTAGAAAGACTAAGAGGGCTTTGCACAGTGATGATATTGCCGGCATACAAGCTTTGTACTCCCAACCATAGATCCTACATGCCACGCTCTAATTGGGTTCTACATCACAATGTTTTTATTTTACTGTTGATGCCTTTATGCATGCAGTTCTTGATCATAGACTAATCAAAGATGGTATTGCCTGATGTGAAAATAGCATTGACTTTAATTTCAAAATCCAACCCAAAATTTGTTGGGCTACTTTATGTCTACGTGCCCTTGGGCCGAATTGACCTCATGAAATTAGTCCATATGGCCTCAAATCAACCCAAAACCAAAACCCCAAATCATTTTTAGGGCAGCCTCCTCCAATTCACCACACATGAAGCATCGTGTGAGGATATGAAGAATTACCTTATATCGAAAAGTTGAACAATTTTGTGAAGGCTTATAGTTGGTTGTGTCACACTCCCATTACCAACTAGTTCAAAATTCCACAACCAATTTGCAATAGTTCAAAGTTGTGGAGTGCAAAAGCACTTGATAAAGAGATAACGCACTGTAAATGTGGGCTTACCCAAGTAGGTTAGAGTATATGTACTCTCCACTCTACACCCGAGTTCGAATTTCCTTCCTCGTTGTTAGTGGCAGAGCCAAGAATTGATGTTAGAGGGAGCCCTCTTGCAATATATAAAAATAAAGGGAATGAGAGCATAAGCATTACAAGTTCTCGTAGAACTTCTTGTGCATCATTTTCTGACCTCTCAATATCCCCTAAAGTAAAAATCAAGAAATACGCTTTTAGATGACAGATTTTACACATCAAGTTTTGATTGTTGTATCATACGCACAATTAAATTATTTACACGGAGAAAGAGGGAAAGAAAAGGAGAGTTAAATGGCAAAGAAGAACGAGAGAGAGAGAGAGAGAGAGAGAGAGAGAGAGAGAGAGAGAGAGAGAGTTGAGAAGGGGTTTGGCTCCGCCACTACTTGTAGTTTAGATTATATTAAAGTAGAATATTGTCTGTATAAAAATAAAAATAAGATAAAAATAAGAGATAAAGCACTTTCATATTTATGTTTTTAGGGTAGGCTCTCATTGTAGCCAAATTTCATTAAAAATCATGTTGATAATTAATCATCTCCCATTAATTGTGGCCAGATTATTCTAATTTCATTAAAAATGTTGTTGCTCATTGAGATCATCTCCCATCCGGATTGTTGATCTCAGAGAAGATTGTCTCAGAAATAAATTTAATGGATTCGTCGGTCGCACAACTTTGCTCACTTTTACCAGACCCTTCCTTGTCTTTGATGAAGGCAACCTCATCTTCACAAATATTGTTTTCAACAATATTGAAGTCCATATCGTCGTCAGCACTCCGTTGAAGCTTCAAAGCAAATTCAAGCTCTCTCACAACGTCAGCCATCGATGGCCGTTCAATCCCATTATCATGCATGCAACTCATCGCAATCTTAACGAATTTATTAAAGCAAAGGCCCGCAACCTTGCCCTTCAAGCAAGGGTCAATGATTTCATTAAGTGTCCCATTGCGATGACAAGTCTTGGCCCATTCAGCCAGGCTCATCTGCCTCCTCTCTACCATACGCACAACCGCTGGCCTTCCACACAATACCTCACACAATACTACACCGAAGGAGTACACGTCAGACTTCACACTCAGCTGCTGACGACGATAATATTCCGGGTCTAGATAGCCAAAACTACCCTTCACCACAGTGCTTATGTAGGCGTTAGACATGGTGGTGGCGCCCATTTTTGACAACCCAAAATCAGAAACCTTAGCGATCCATTTCTCGTCCAACAAGATGTTGGTGCTCTTCACGTCACGGTGAATGATTGTGCACATTGCTCCCGTGTGAAGGTAATGAAGTCCACGCGCCGCCCCGATACAGATCTCAAGCCGTTGCTCCCAGAGAAGAGATGGGTTATCTTTGTGGTAGAGATGGTCACTAAGGGTCCCACGGTCCATGAAATCATACACTAAGATCATCTCCCTTTCATCCACACAATATCCAATCAACGACACCAAATGACGGTGGCGTAATTGGGAGAGCATCTCGATCTCTGTCTTGAACTCGTGGGCCCCTTGCGAGGACCCGGGTTTCAGCCGTTTGATTGCAACGGGAGTAGCCCTACCATCGATGTACCCTTTATACACATTGCCAAACCCGCCGCGCCCAATAATACAAATATCGCTGAAGTTTCGGGTGGCGGCTTTAATCTCCTCCAGGGAAAAGTAGTGACACAAAGCGGAGGGTAAAGATGAGTTGGTTGTTCTGTTGCTGGAGCACGAGGAGGCTTTGAGTTTCTGTTGTTGCCTGAAAACCAAGATTAACCCAAGAAACATTACAATTGTGACGGTGGAAACTACACCGGCGATAATGGCAAGCATAGGATTCCGCGTTAACTCGGTGTTGGTTCTCTCTGGGCTGGGCGGCAACGCCTTTTTTGGGGTCGACATAGGAGGTGGGTTTGGGTTGTGTCCGGCGAGATTGCCACTTGTGTCATTTAATTTGAATATTTCGAGCCCATTCAAGATTGCATCGTTGTAATTCGTCATAGAATCATCTGGGTGTGCTCGCAATGCTATGGAGAGATTTACTTTCTTCCAGCTTTCTGAAGCTGCAAGGCCAGTCACGAACACAAGGTAGTCATGGTGCACTGGTCTCCCATTTCCGCCACTCCACATGATGATATCCGCTCCTTCTTCAGCGAGATCGTTGGCTATGTAGATAAGAAAATTTCGGTCTCTGGAATTGACAATGTTAGGTTCAAACTCGCAGAAATGAAGCCTAACCAGGTAATAAAACTTGGGGTCAACTGGGAGATTCCAGGTGAGATTATAGCTCTTGTTTATGGTCTTGTTCCAGCCCATTGACCGACCAGTATGGTAAAGTTCTTCTGGAGCAGAGTACTTTGCTATTTCAGTAAAGTTGAGTTCGATACTACTTTTTTGTGGTAAAACACTAAACTCAATGCTTAAATCGTCTAAGTACTTGGGCTCTTCTTGCTCGCCTCCCCAATTGCGATACATGCCGGTGTCTTCACTGAAAAATAATGACTTTCCACCAACGTTTATTCGGTACACCGTCTCCAGAGCAGAGTTGTTTTCGATGTGAAAATTGAAGTTGTTTCCTACGAGTCCTACCCCAAGGCTTTGGGCTGCAGTGAAGTAAAGATTGGTGGGCATGGATACAATTTCAATGCCGTTGATAAACGCATACGCATCTGGGCTTACTAGGCTCGGACTCGGTGTGAAGGTGATGTTCAAGCTCTGTTCTGATGACTCCATGTTGAGACAGAACTCTCTGTATATCGTCTCTATTCCGTACCCATCGGCAGTGACTGAAGTGTTGAAGTCGTGGAGAAGGGTAAAGCCACTGGCTTTGACTGAGAAGAGGGCTTTGGATCGGTCAAAGTCAGGACCATATGAAACTGGGTTGAAATACAAGCGGATGAACTTTTGGCCTGAAGTGAGTTTAAAACTGTAAGTAAATTCAGAGCGCGAAAGGCGCGCTGTGGTGTAAGACACTCGGTGGATGGTGTACGAATGAGGTGCTTCTCTAAACATGGATGTGTCACTGCCAGTTGTGGGGGAAAAGTTTGAGTTGATATCTCCGTGCCAATATCGTTCATCACATTCATTTAATAAGTTGCCGGAATAGCCACATTTAACCGTGATATCTTCCACCGGAGTGTAGATAGGTGGCGAATCTCTAGCCGCCACAAGTAGGCCGGTGATAATGTGCAGAAACAAGGAAAGGTAAAGTTGAGTAGTAAGAATTGGGACGTTCTTCTTCATGGTAAGAAAGACAGGGTGGTTTCAGGTGTGTTGTGTTGGTGGTGGATGAAGTGGGAAGGCTGCTGCTCTGCTTTATAGCAATCTGGTTAGGTTGGGTTCTATTCAATCAAAGAATTATTATTATTACCAAAAAAAACCAAAAAAAAAAAAAAAAAAAAAAAAAGAATTATTAGGCGGCTGGCTGGCTCCGTATCAGTCAAGATATAGTAAGTCTTGTGCATGAAAAATTAGTGTCACTGTTGCTGACCTTTCCATATCTCGTTATCAATGACGTGGGTAGAGAGACTCAGATATAGAAAGGTGAAAAGGTTGGGAAGTTTCAAATGGGAAGAGAAAGGTCAGAAGGTAATTAAGATTTTGATTAAGAGGAGGAAGATGATGATCCAGTGAGAAACAGGGAAGCTGCTGAAACAAAACAAAGAGATTGCCCTGTTTAATTTTCAAATGGGAATTTGGAAAGTCTTCGTCTCATCAAGTGTAATTGTATTCACATGGAAGCTTAGAAGCGTTGTTCTCTGAAAGTTCAGAGCTTCTTCTTTTCAATCTTCTTGGTGGACAGTTAAAAGCTTTCGCCTTTCTTCTTTTTGGTGTATATTTCTTTTGCTTTAAAAAAAAATAATAATAAATAAATTTAATTATGTTCGTCAACATAAAATAAGAGTGCTGCTAAATAAACCCTAAAATTAACGGAGTACACCCTATAATTTAAGTTTATTTTAATATTTTAATCAAAATATAAAAGTAACTAAGTACACCCTATTTAACTACCAAAAATAGCCATAGTACAACACTCTAATACCAATCCTAAACCAGGTTTCTCTTTTTACATGAATCTGTGCCATCTTTTTAGATTTTGGGTTTCATCAAAATCTTTAATTTCGTAATACCAATCCTAAACTAGTACTCGCTGTGTTATTCGTGAGCACCAAGCAATACGAAGACTTTTCTATGTCTGATAAGGGTTGAATATAGTGATTAAGGTGTACTTATAAAAATTTTATTTGTTTCACAATTCAATATATCCTTTTTGGTCATTTTATATTAGGGTAAATTAGTAATTCAATAAATAGTTTGGTAATAGGGTGTACTCAGTTAATTTTAGGGTTCATTTAGCAGCACTCTAAAATAATTCAGGCATAAGCTTTCTGTTGTTCCAAGAAAATCTGACCGATTTAAATCACATGGGGCATAATTGGAATTAAAAATAATAATTACATCATAAAATTAAAAAAAAGAATGTAATCCTTTATAGCATGGAAGCGAGAGGACTTAGATCAGAAACACAAAATTCGAGAATAAAACCTAACTCTTAGTTAGAAATTTGAATGGATGCCAAATTTTGTAAAAAAATAAACTATATATAACCATCAAGGTATCTCTGATAAGACCGTAGACAATTGTGGCTCTAATAGCAAAGCAACACAAAATTTCATTTCATTTTTCAGCTGCTGAAAAGGCCACACAACTGTTAACTTGGAGGACTTCAATATGAGCCTGCAGCCCTGGCTCCAATTCGCATGACCAAAAACCACAGAGAGGCACCACTATTAATTTAACAAAAATGCTAGTCATACTACATTTAAATTTAATTTGTAGTTTTTTTGTTGAAATTTCTCCGAGTGTTCTTTTTGTTTACTATAGATATTAAACAGTTAGTGAGTTAGGCATGCAAGGCACATGAGTTGTTAGTAGCATATGTGAGTTAGTTAGACAACTATATTGATTAAACAGTTAAGCCTTACTTAACAGGTATGAAGTGTAATAGTGTTGTAGCTTAAAACAGATTAAGCAATACAAAAATCAGAATTGCAATTTCTCTCTGTTTCTCTTTCCTTCTTCTTCAGGTTTCTTCCCCACACTCCTCTGAATATGTTGGTTAACACGTTTGTGTCACGTTGAAATAAAATGGATTGGGTTTGGGTCTACGGGGACTTGGCCATGCGGGTTGAACCATGGTTGGGAATTAAGCCAAGTGACCAATAGCACCGCAGCGTCAGCACTTGCCCTCGATCAATTATCAAGAAGCCCAAGCTAAGCTAAGCTAAGCTATGCTAGCTTTTCCAAATCGAATTGGATAAGACAGCTAAAGCCAAAAGCGACACTTGGTACGTGCTAGTCTATAATCTCAGGTTTAATTTAAAGTGAAACAAGCATCCCCTCCCGATTGACAGATTAATTTAAAGTGAAACAGGCAGTGTAGAGGCTGGTTTGAGGAGGAAGGTGGTTGTTGCTTGATGGGAGTTTTAATTTTTATTTTTTTAATTTTAAAGGTATTAAATTAGTTTTTTCTCACCATAATTGTACTATACTAAAACTCCACCATAATTGTTTTGTCTTCAATTAATTTTTTTTTTTTCAACTAAAATTGTTTGAACAATATTGTGTGATGTATTTTTCTTACAAAAGTTTTACTCATTTGTTTTTAGAAGTCATAATATAAGAAAACTAAACATAATTGGTTTCGACTTTTATGATGTGATGATTTTGGCTGTGGCCCCATATACTACGAAAAAATAAAAAGAAAAAAGTTCAATTATCATTTCATCAGGTCTCCACCACATCTCACTTCAATTAAGAATATTAAAAGACCATGTGATTCCCCAACTTTTGCCCAACGAATGGCATATCGGAGCTTCCACAGTTGGCAATGGCATGCATAAAAACCCAATACATTTGGTCATCCTCATCGGAATAAACAATTCATGCATCTTGTACATGCCTTGGAATTTTAAGAAATAACAATCACAAATTGAGTTAGAATTACAAGCTTACAATAATACTAAAACATACCATACAATCCAAATGAAGCTTCTGAGTTTTAGCAAGATATATTGTTCTCTTTAATTTTATTACAACTAGTGTTGTTCGTCATCGTCACGCATCATCTTCCACTGGGATCTTTGATCTCAGAAAAAACTGTCCCGGACATTCCTTTAATGGAATTGTTGGTGGGTCGAACAACTTTGATCACTACTCGTGTTGGTCACCCTACTACTGTTCTTCGAATCCGACGAATCTATCCAGCTGGAACTAAAACCTTCGTCGCTCTCATTCATAGTTGCAGTCTCCTTCGTTTCACCCTTGGTTTCATCATCCTCGTCCATCTTATCTCTGTTCTACTGAAGTTTTAATGCTTGCACAAGCACCTCCACCACGTTGTTCATCGATGGACGTTGTTTCCCATTCTCATGCATACAACTCAACGCAATCTCAACGAACACTTTGAAGCACTCGTCTTCAATTTTACCCTTCAAGCTTGGATCGATGATTTGATCAAGTTCCCCATTTTGATGGCATGCCTTGAACCACATAGCCAAACTCATTTCCTTCTTCTCCACTGTACGCATCAAGGCTGGCCTTGCACACAGCACCTCACACAACACAACGCCGAATGAGTACACATCTGACTTCTCGGTTAATTGATTTCGGAGCATGTATTCTGGGTCCAAATACCCATAACTACCCTTCACTTCCGTGGTAATGTGGGTCTTCGACATGGTCATTGAGCTCATTTTTGACAACCCAAAATCCGAAACTTTGGCCACCCATTTCTCGTCCAATAAAATGTTTGTGCTTTTTACATCACGGTGAATGATGGTGCCTTCCGTACCACCAGTGTGAAGGTAGTGCAAACCACGCGCTGCGCCAATACAAATCTGGAGCCGTTTTTCCCAAGGAAGAGGTTGTGCATTAGGATCGGATTTTGGGTTCATTAGATGATCATTAAGAGTCTTATTTCCCTTCTATCTTTACAGTACCCGATGAGAGACACCAAATGTTGGTGGCGGAGTTGGGAGAGCATATCGATCTCCGCCCTAAACTCTGGGACCCCTTGTTGCGACTCGGGTTTAAGCCGTTTGATCGCAACAAGGGTGCCCTGATCGATGCTCCCTTTGTACACGTGGCCGAACCCACCAACACCGATAATAGAACCCTCGTTGAAGTTTCTGGTGGCGGCTTTGATCTCCGACAATGAAAACTCACGACACAAACCGGAAGGTACAAATGGGTCATCATCGGTATCCTTGTCTCTTCTTCTTCGACTGAAAACCAAGAATCCGAGGACACAGAATAATACAAGTATGGCGGAAACTGCACCAGCAACGATGGCAAGCATAGGAGTTGACTTCTTCTTCAACTGTTTTGAGGGGGTTTTCGGCTGCATCGGCTTTGGTGGAGGTGGGTCGGGGTTTGGTCCTGCGAGAATTCCATTTGTATCACTGAGTTTGAAGAGTTCAAGGCCGTTCAAGAGTACATCATTGTATTCAGTCTCCCAATTTCTTGGGTTTGCTTGCAGTGCAAGAAAGAGCTTAACTTTCTTCTGATCAGGGCCTGCCGGCATGAACACGACGTAATCCCTGTAGATTGGTCTCCCATTTCCACCACTCCACACGATTATGTCGGCTTGTGTCTCAGCAGTTTGATTCGCTATGTAGATTATAAACGATCGATCCCTGGTGTCGATAATTTCAGGCTCAAACTCACAGAAATGAAGCCTGAGCAGGTAAAAAAACTTGGGATCTACGGGAAATTCCCAGGTCATGTTGTAGCTCTTGTTTCTGGTTTGGTTATTGCCCATGGACCGGCCCGTTTGGTAAACTGCTTGTGGAGCAGAGTAGTTTGGTATTTTCACAAAGTTGAGTTCAATGCTAACGTTTTGTGGAAGAACGCTCCATTTAGAACTCAAGTACTTTTCCTCCTCTCGTAGACTGTCCCAATTTCGGTACATACCAGTGTCTTGATTGAATAAGATTCCGCTTCCACCAATGTTTATTCGGTACACCATCTCCATCGCCGTGCTGTTTTCAATAAGATAATTGTTTCCGTTGCCTACAAAATCAGCCCCATATCGGTTTTCAGGAGGAGTGTAGTAAAGATTGGTAGGCATGGACACAATCTCAATCCCATTGATAAAGGCATAAGCATCTGGAATTGCTCTGCTTGGAGTGAACGTGATGGTCAAGCTCTTTCCATTATCAATGTTCAAACAGAACTCTCTT